CCTGCCCAGACCCTAGGAGGTCAGTTACTGGATATATAGTCCTGCTAGGCAACAGTCCAATCTGTTGGAAATCTAAGAAACAAGAAACAATATCTTTATCCTCACTAGAAGCAGAGTATAGGTCCTTGAGGAAGGTTGTCGGAGAGCTAACTTGGTTGTGCAGACTATTTGATGAGCTCAATATTTCTTATCCTAAGCCAGTCTCAGTGTTTTGTGATAGTCAATCTGTCTTACACATAGCTTGTAATCCTATTTTCCATGAATGAATCAAACACATCGAGGTCGATTGCCACTTTGTGCGAGATAAGCTCCAAGAAAAAATGATTTCTCTCCATCATATTGATACCGGTGCTCAGTTGGCAGATGTCCTCACTAAAGCCCTCACGATATTGAACAAGGTGGGTGTGAAGACTTCACCTCTAACGTTGGGGGGGGGGGGGGGGAGTTGAGATAACACTGTATTTGACTTCATTTTATATATACTTCCGAGTAGTTTTAGTCTGTTAATTAGTTAGTTGATTTACTGTAGCTTAGCTGTCAAGTAGTTAGCAGTCAGTTGGAGTTAGTTAGTGGTCTTGTATTCACGTGTATATGTACATCCCATTGGGATATCAAAAATACAACAATTCATTCTCTCATCTTCGAGAATCAAGTCACCTTCTCCCTTAGCTCATGCGAAGGTTCTAGAGTCCATGAATGGAGATTCTAATCGAAAGATGAAATTGGTTGTCCAAATGCACAAATTGACAAAACATATTAACAATTTTAGAGTCCGTGCGATGGATTTACTATAGTTGTTTATTTTTATTATTCTAACGTGTTTGTGTACAGAGCCAAGGCAATTCCGACCGTAGATCCGTGCAAATTTTTAGGGCGCCTAATTATTAACACTAATAGTTATTATTTCATATAAGTTGCACACTTCTACTATTTTATACAAAATAAGATTCAAATATGCGGTCTATATCAGTTAATTAGTTGGGATAATGAGTAAGTTACATTATGATCTTTACATTAGGTTGAATATTTTTCAGGAGCTTTTTAGTCTGGTTCGACATTTAGTATATCAGTGTAGGGATAAGTGTACGTAATATTTATAGAATCTCGAGTTTTAAAAAAATCCCTAATTAATTACCTTAATAGACAGATTACTTGGTAATGGAATGAAATAGATGTGTGTGTTGAGTTTTTTTTTTCTTTATTTATGTGTGTTGAGTTATAAGATACAAAATATAAGGATCCCAAATAGAACATGTTTATAAGATATATATTTTGCTATCCAAACATGTTTATAAGATGGGAATAAGATTATTGAGGACCGCCTAGGCAGTAATGACTACTTTTCTACTAAATTATTCACTGTCATATATGAAGGACTAGTCTAAAAATCTTATAGATTGCGTAACGTCCGTAAGAAAACATCTCTTTAACGAAATGTACACTGATTTTAACAATAATAAGAAATGACTCTTTTCTTGTTCATTATAGATTAATTAATATACTAGTGCAACTATCAACGAGCATTAGTCATTCTTGTTCAACTAAGCTTACATGAGACCTAGTTGTTCAATATCTTATTAATCCCAGCTATATTTAGGGATGTCAATGGGGCGGCGCGGGCGGGTTTGGCAAAACCCACAAAAATTTCAACCCGCCCCGCCCACATAGCTATTTTTTCAGTTTTCGCCCCGCCCCACCCTGCCCCACTTAATTATTTTTTTCTTTTTTCTTTAATTTTTTTCTAAAACAAATTAGTTTGATATTTTATTATTTTATAAAATGAAAAGTTTAATAGAATCACATAAACATAAAACTGAGAGAGTATTACGTTGATCTTCCAAAATAAATGTGTTACTATCATTTCCTATCATGATTAAGAGATTGGATATGGATTTAATTAATTCAAACTCAAGATTAAGCCCCAACTACTTATCAAACAAAAGTTATGGTTTGGCCGATTTATCGTAAATACTAAATAAAGTGAATAAGAAGCAAGAGACCAAATGTTGAGGAAGAAAGCCTAAGGTTATGGATTTCTTTCACACTACTGTTATGGCAGTAAATGATATAGATTAATGGATGGAATTTAGAAACTTCATAGATAGAAGTTCGAATTTCTGGCTGAGAATAATACTCAACCTATCCTTCTATATGGTGTCATTGATCTACGATTTAAGTTCAGAAAATATGGATGATTTGGGCATACATCAGGTGTGCAATTTATTCGAAAAGTGCTCAAATCTCAAAGCAGCATGTCACGAAAAAAAGTTACAGAAGATAAAATTCAAAGTTGCCCCGCATTAAACCTGCAACCCGCCCCATTGTCAGCGCTAGCTATATTTATTTTCTTTTATTCTCAATAATTTGCTTAATTAGGAGCTAATTATAAGACCATTACGTTGTCCTTAACTTCTGTTCAAATTCAGTATATCGTGTCAAAATTAAATATCCTTTTATGTATCCTATTCAGCTTATAACACCACTCTTGAATCTCTGATCACTGCTACTTCAATCTATCTAAATAATTACAACAGTCTTCAGTTTATGAATCAACTCTCTTTGCTTCGGACTACATTGTAGCACATTGAATCACTCTGGAACTGAGTAGCCTATGAAAACAATTAATGTGGCTTATCAAGTTATAAGCTCGAAAAAAGAAAAGAAAAACTTAATGTAATAGAGATATTTATATATACCATCATTGTAGTTTAACTTGTGTATAGCACGTAAATCTCTTTAAGACTTTTAAGTTACTTGTGATGATGGAAGGATTATATTACTCGCAGTTTGTAGCTAAACTCAAAAAGAAAAAAGAAAGAAAAGGACGTGGGAAAGGTAAACTTAGTAATACATGCATGAGGGAGGGTAAGAGAATATCCTTAAACAGAACCTCATTCAGACATGTACGATTTCATTTTAATTGACTACGTAAAAAACTCAAAAAAAAAAGGGGGCAGTTGCACTTAATATAGGTTACTACTCCACCGTACCATTCATATTAGGCGTTTCAAATTTTGTAACAATTCACCCAAAATTCAGTAAAATTAAATGAAGAAAGTAGTATAAGGAGATCATGCATGACGCAAAGTTACATATTTCATCCCTATAATATTTTTTTTTTAAAAAAAGATTACAAAAATACTTTTATTTTTTCTTTGAGTCAATTAAGTTCTCATTTTCCAATATAAATTGAGAATGTTCAATCAGAAATATTAGACATGCGAAAGTTGTGCATTTTGTAGTACATAAATCTCTATAATACTATATTGCTATCTAGGGGTGTACTAACCGAATCGAAAAACCGCACCAAACTGAAAAGTCAAACCAAACCGATTAAAATACCCGATTAGATTTGCTTTGATTTTGTTTGGTATTGAGTTAAAAAACGCGAACCAAACCATATAAATATATTATTTTTTTATATATACTTTTAAGACATTTTATGGAAATTTTTTTAAAAAAATGTCTAGAAATATTTGCAATTCTCCTATGGGATGTAATATTTAGTTAAATATGAAGTGCTTCATATTTTTTAACTTTAAATAATGGGTTGTATGATCACTTTCTTATCAAGTGTTAGTGAAATGCGTCAATCTCTTTGTTCTTCCATATTTATATGTCAACATCTATTAAATTCTTATATCTTTTTCGAGTTTGAAATGGTATTTCAATAATTTAAAATTAAATAGAGCATATCATATATAGTTTCATATTTACTTTTATGTTTAATTATTAAATTCAGTTAATATTGAAAGTGTACATCAATGTAAAACTATTGTTAGACGACTAAAAAATAACTATCATGTAGGGGTGCTTATCGGGCGGATTGGGCGGATAATTACACTTGCGGTTCGACTTAACGGTCATCGGATTATAAATGTATTAATCCGCTAGTCATCCAATAAGACAAGGTCGGATTGATATCGGATTAACAATTATCGGGCGGTTATCGGGCAGCTTATTGGCTAAACCAAATTAAAAAAATTTGAACAATCATTCAATCAATACCAAGATTACACATACTATACAAAGAGGTGCAAGATTGGATCAACGCTGCAGAATGAGTGGTACTTTTTAGCCACAAGGATAGGAAGTATCCCACAGGTTCAAGAACAAACCGAGCAACAAATGCTGGATTTTGGAAGGCAACAGGCAGGGACAAATGCATAAGTTGGAAGGCAATAGATAGTCTGTCATACACATATTAACCAAATTTGTAAAACCAGAAAAGCACATTAGTTCAGTAATCAAACAAACTTTTAAAAGGACATTCGTTCATAATCAATCAAACATTCACAGTCGTTCAATAGTACTTTATATACATAGGGGTAAAAGTGCAAATATACAAAATTCTTAACGGGTTAACGGTTTACCCGATAAGAAAATTGAATAATCCACCCCAAACCGTTAAGCCGTTAATTATAAAATCTCAATACATTCCCCATCCATTACCCCGATAATCCGATACCAATAAGCCAATAAGCCATCGGTCCAGTTAACGGTTTCGGTTCGGTTTTGATTAGCCCTACTATCATGTATTACTAAGAAAAATTTTCCATAAGAATGTTCAGATAGGTCACATATTTGTCATTTTTTTCAATTTTTACTAAACATATATTTACTTATGAAAATTTTAACAAAGTAAGATTGAAATAATATTCACATAACAAAGAAACCCGAAAACCCGACAAAACAAATCCAAACCGATATAGGAGTTGGTTTGATTTGTTTTTGATAAAAACCGAACCAACCCGGTTCATATACACGCCTATTAAGTCTTTGAATTCATGGAGTTGGACGTTTGGTGGACTACCAGAAGACCCTGGATATTAAGAGTTTAGACGACTGCAAAACCTATATTTACTTTAGTTAAAAGTCATTGTAATCATATAATAGTCAAAATGACAGCAAATGGAGAAACTAGAAGAAAAAAAAAATGAAAAATAAAACGTGCCAAACGTAAAATAGATGATGTCCACCAAGCAAACAAATCCGTCTAGATCTGGAAAAAGAACACGTAAACAAATTGATAAATTCCGCAGGCAAAGTGAACATAGAGGCGAGTTTATTGATTCACTTGTCACATTGTACAATAGTCAAAAATGCAAACTGTGACATTGTTACAAGATTTGTGTAATAATTTATCTTCTAGTTTCTCTACTGTGGTCGTATCCCTTTTCCTAGCTGCCTCCGTGAAAAAAAACATGACTCAGTTTACTATTGGCTAATAGGCGATAGCTGTTTTTTCTTTGTTGCCTCAGATGATAGTATGACATAACCTAAGTGGACACTTAACATACTTCAAAACCCCGGTAAAACCGAGAAATCTACTATTCCCCTTGGCAAATCTGCTATTTTCTTCAGCAGAGCAAGCCGGTTTGTCCTGATCCGTTCGTCCTCCTGCAAGATGCATACAGAACAATTAATATGAAGAATTAGGGAGGCATAGCTATGCACTATAGCTGTACCAGCACTGGAGAATCACGGGCAGATTATGCTTCAATTAGATTTGAGACACAGTATAGGACAAACTACTCTTTTTTTTTAGATTGAGAGGAGGAATTATGTTAAAAGAGAAGCAGATGGATACAAGCACCAAGCCAGGAAGCCCACCAATAGGAAGCTGAAAAGAATAAACTAAGCAAAGCAAACATGATACTACTCTATCCAATGCGCTTATAAAAATTGGTTAATGCTTCAGAACTATTTAAGTTTTTCAAATCTAAGAAGTAAAAAGAAATCAGAGGATCTTACCACCATTACAAAGACCTCGTTGAAAAAATCCTCCAGCGGTTCTATAAGAACTGACGATACTTCAACAAAATCATCAACTTCCATGTCTGTAAATGAACAGTCATACATGCATGCTTCAATTGCAAATATGTTGGTAAAAACTCAATCAACTAGCTAAACGTTGAATGTATTTACAATGTAATCAATCAGGATAACAGACAGCTATATTTGTTTGCATATATTAGGAAATGCTATTCATCTGGAGGAGAGGCAATACCTGGATGAGTTTTACTTCTTAGTGACAAGAAAGTGCTCCACAAAGCTTTTTCTTCATTTGTCTCAAAAGCTTGATCATCCACCTGAATTTACAATGAGAATATGTTTTACTTGATAAGAACAAACAATGCTAAGAGTCAGCCAACTAAATCATTGATGTTGCGGACTTCTCACTATTCTACCAACTAATCACCAGTATGAATAGAAGAGTCATGATTCTTGACTAAAAAGGGAGTCCAATGCTACACATCGTCAGATGACCATGGAGCTTGACAATATTAACAATTGTATTAACTAGTCAGCAGAGCAGATCAGAAACAAATTATTTATTAGTTGTGCCATAGAGAAAAGCTTCTACTGTCCTACATAACACCTCAGTAAACGCGTTTTGTATAAGGAACACCATTTCGTTACAGGTGCAATTGACGTGCATAGTTATTCTATACAGGAATATCAATGGAATGGCAACAGAGTATGTTCCAAAACTTGTATAATGGAGTATAATAGCAATTAAACTATACAAGGAAATTTGTTGAGCATAGAATAAGATTCACCTCCGCATCGACATTTGCATCCTTCCCACGAACAATTCTTGTTGGACGAGAATATGCTTCAACAACCTTAGGCAAAAGCTCTCCTTTGGACAAGGACTCCATCTACGTATGATGGCAATGAATATCAATTACAGTTTAAAACATCACAATACTTTTCTAACTCACTCATTGCTCCAATCAGAGCCAATTGTACACTTTATATTCAACACGAAACGAAAACAGAGTACATGTTTAACTGCAATGAAAAAATTTCCAACACTAGGCCACATTTTGAAGAATTAAAGCTCAGAGTTCCTGGGTTTTATTTTATATTTATTAAATGGAGAGAGTTATACTTTATATTTCAATTACACGATATTCAAATAAGCTGAAGAGGTAACTTTGACTATGAGTACATACAGGAAAATTTACGAAAAGAGGGTTAAAAAGAAAACATCCTTCCAATTTATGTGGCATTCTGATGCGTCTTTGTCCAAGGTCCTGGATATGAAACTACTCAAGATACCATCTTGCCGCCTTATGTAGAAATCAATGACATTGAGGTCCAAATAGTATTATCAAAGGCGAAAAGCGCAAAAAAGCTCTAAGGTCAGTTGGTGCTTTAAGCGCAAAGAGCAAATAAAGCGCGGACTTTAATGAAAAAAAGCGCAATGGGAGAAAAAGTTAAAATATGCATGTAGTCCAAGACTAATCATTATAAGCATGAATAACAAATATATGGAAAAAGAAATTGAAAAAAAAAATCACGATAAAGTGAAATATCAATAGTTTAAGGTTGCCTTTTCAGGATTACACTCCTTGGCAAGGGAAAGTATGCCTTAGAGCTTTGATGCGACACTAAAAGCGCCCACAAAGCGAGGCAAAGAGCTCGACGTGTTCTGAGCCTCGCTTCAGGGCTTAAGCGCGCCTTTGACAACACTGGGTCCAAATTGCACATATGCATAAAAAAAATTGATAAATTAAAGTATTGATAATTAAACAGGAGTTAATTCAAAAATACACAGAACATTATTATCGTGATTAGATTTTCAGAATAATTAGTGACAGAATCCTAATGAACATGTTAATTTTTTCAATTATCGGTACAATAGAACATGTTCAAAATTACAAACTTTGCTTTCAAAGTCGAACTATGGTGCAATTGGGTAGTACGAAAGAGTAAGTTCATATGAAATTAGAAAGCCTTAATTTTTTCGGATTGTGGAGGGCACCCAGGGGGAGAGGGTAGGGGTGTTTGGAAGGAGACAACAGTTGAACATCTAGTGCAGAAATATCATATTGCAGATGCATCATGGAAACATCAAACTCCTGAACGTTCAGATGTATCTCTAACGCGTCCAATTTTTCAAAAGGACACTGCCCTCAAGCAGTTATGTGGACTACATGGACCAGGAGCAACAAGGAGCTTTGAAGAGAGAGAAAACTCATTAGTGCATTTACAAATAATCATACTACTTTTATATTTTAGATGCCCTAATGAAATTTCAACATGTACGTTGAAGTGTGTGGCCATCTCATCTAAAAACTTAAGCTGTCAGAGAGAGCACACTTTATTTACTTAACTGTCTCTTCAACACGCCCCCTCATGTGCAGACTTCATACATTTTTTCATGGGCCAAGTTCGTGGAAATTCATTTTTAAAATGGTGGTGGTGAGACTCGAACCCAGGACCTCTGCCTACTTTGAAATCATATTAAAGAAAATAGATCTTAGGCCTAACTCAACCCAAAAGCTAGCTCATGAGATGAGAATTATCCAAGGCCATATAAGGAGACAAATGGCCTCCCACACCCACCGATGTGGGACTCAACAATCCCCTCATGCCCAGGCCTGCAAATTGGAGAGTCCTGCAAATGCGTCGACAAATAAATGGGGCCCAACATCGGTACCGATAAATCGAGGTTAAAGTGGGATGGGCCTACCATGTTGAAGTGTGCGACCATCTCATTTAAAAGCCTAAGCTGTTAGAGAGAGCACATTTTATTTACTTAGTTGTCTCTTCCACAATGTATAACGGATTGAACGGAGAAGAGAAGTACTCCTTGCACCTTATGGATATAGGATATTCTGACTTTTGTTGATGAACATAAATAGAAATTTTTTCAAATAGCCATATGTCATAGAAGAAATGTTGCCTCTTAAGATGAAAGAGGCCAAAAGTATCAGCAAAGCATAAAACAAATAAGTGAGTGCACAATAAAATGAAAAGAAAGGTAGTTACCTTGTACACCGATTTAGTTGCCAAACAAGGTCGACTTGCACGCTCGGAAAGAACAGACCTTACGACTTCAGGGCTTATACCTTTATCCATCTGTAATTGAAACGCAGAACATGTCAATAAGGAATGGTCTTTTTCACATGGATAAGTAATGGAATGGAAAGGTCTCAAGACTGTCAATAAGGAAATGATCATACTCTTCTTCACATGGATAATTGATAAAAAGGATCACTGAAGAGATCAAATTGTCCCACGATGTTCAAATACTGGACAAAAAGAAACCTAGAACTAGTTCACGTGCTAAGATGATAAGGATCTGGAACCCTAGAGGCAAAGCTAAATCCACCTCCAGAGATAACAGCGACATATTTAGGACTACTAACTGTGAAAAGAAAACTAGAAAAACAAATAACAGCAGAATAATAGGTGTTCATGAAAATGAGACATACCAGAAATTGCTCGAGTCTTCGTGTTACAAATTGTTGTACCTTAAATGGAAACAAGAAAAAGATGTATCTTGTCAGATTATGAATCCTGACTTTGTGAGAATAAGCAAAGGACTGCATGCATCGGATAAAGGACGAAAGACTTCCAATTTATCATTAAAGTTTACCAGGAATAACTTAGTATTACTAGTATATAGCATATTTAATTTTCTAGCATACAGGACCAAATAGGGCTAGTGAATTTTTCCTTTATTTCAACAGAACCAAGTAGGGCTACTGCTGCAATTCTCCAAACTAATAAACGAATAGGGTGCAAACTTACATCATTGATTGTCCTGACATCTACTTCAATGGGCTGTACTGCAGCAGCAAGGTCTAAAGCCTGTCTTAAGTCTATATTTCTGTTACTTTCAACCAAGAGTTGCACCTGCAATAAAACAAACGCAAGCATTATTTTACAGTACTTTAAATTACCAAAGCTTTTCAAAGATGAAGACATACAAGACCATATGAGATCCTTCGCAGGCCAAATGGATCATTACTTGAGCTTGGCTGACAGCCAGCAGCAAATAAGCCAACAAGGCTATCCAGCCTGCAGTAGAGATAGCAATATATGAGAGACGAAATAAAAATTGGAAACTGCACAGTCAAGAGAATGAGATTCAGGGAAAGACATTTATCATAGCGTCGCTAGGATATTAAGTGCATTGGAGTTAAAGCATGTAGAAGTTTTGCAATATAAAAACAACCTTGCATGCAATATCAGTGGTACTGGTAGGCTGGTAGCTAATTTCTAAGAATAACCAAATTGAGGTAAGCAGGTTAGTAGATTACGGACTACCAATCAAAAGAAGATTGCAAATACACTACACTTTCCGATGCATTTGCAAATTTCTCCCTCAGGTTAATGCAAAACACGTGCAACATCTCATATACGAATCATTCTACACTGATCTCAAGCAACTGGAAAAAAATTTGCAATAAAAAAGAGGCCCCATATTTTGTTTAGAATGCTAGAAGCAATTCATGTGACACGCAGTGACATGAACCATAGTTTTTCATAATCCTAATGACCATCTAGAAAACTTGAACTGAAAGGTGATCAACATTAGTCATACCTGTCAGTAATTGCTAAAACGGCCCCAACTTCAGTTTTTGGGAGCATATCTCCAGAAAATCGTGGAAGTGAGATCTCAAACAATGCCTCTGCAATCTGTAAAGCACATGACGGCGAATCTTTTAATGTAGTCAACGAACATGAAAATAACACAAAAACAATGAAATAAATAACAAAAGTTCACTTTTTTATAACTGAGAAATCCCGGAAGGCCAGGGGCACACAGTTCAGAACTCGGTGAATAATGGGTCCACCCCACTACCCTTTAAATATCCGGCTTTTGTCTCGGTAGAGTTCGGACCAGTGACGTGCGCCTAACCACACATCACGTGTTGCCCTCTTACCACTAGACCAAAGCCCTGCGGGCTTTCACAAAAGTGTGAATCCACATTTTTATAATCAAAAGGAAGAATCAATGTGACACCAAAATAATAAAATAAATCACAAAAATGCGAATCTACATTCTTCTTAATCAAAGTGAAGAATCTACATACAAAGTTAAATAGCACGCAATTCTTTGAAATAGTGAACCTTTGCCTCAGCAAGTATAACATTGGGACTTAATTACATGATAATGCTATAAAATAGTAATTAAGCAATCTATTCAAAAATCACTCAGCAATATTCTGCATCAAGCCTGTAACATGTGACTTGACAAAGTAGACCGCAACTCTCTGGTAAAAAAAAATCCATATTGCATTGCCTTTGCCTCATGAAACTGACATCACTATGCTATTACAGGAGTGCATACACATGAATGCAAACATATTAAGCCAATGTAGAAAGACGCAACTATGTATTGCCCTTTATTTATTTTCTAGCCTGCTGATACCTGGTCCTCTTCTCTGTACTCTTTGTCCATATTAAAAGAAGTTCTTCTCTTATTAAAATAAAAGGATAGAACAATAAACCCTCAAGTGCTGTCAAAGGCGAAAAGCTCTAAAAAGCACTACAAGTCTATTGGGGCTTTAAGCACAAAGCGCAATTTAAGTGTGGGCTTTAGTACAAAAAAAAGGCACAACAAAGGAAAAAAGATAAAAATATATATGCAACTCAAGAAAAGTAATAAATTCATTCATAATGTTTTCCTTAAAAACAAGTACGCTTATTTGCTGATTTTATGTGTTTCTCCCTCCGTTCCAGTTTATGTGAACCTATTTCCTTTTTGGTCCGTTCAAAAAAGAATGACCCCTTTTCTAAATTTGGAAACAATTTAGCTTAAAACTTCCAATTCTACTCTTAATGAGAAGCTTTTATAACCACAAAAATAAGGATCCCTTTCTGACTTGTTTAGAACCACAAATTCCAAAAGTTCTTATTTTTTCTTAAACTCCGTGCCCAGTAAAACAGGTTCACATAAACAGGGAATATTTAGTATTGTTCGATTCAAGATAGAACTTATGGGCAGTGAAGTGCACGCCTTAGTTACTTGACTACATCGAAGTGCAGCTTAAGCGAGGCGAAGCGCTGCCTCCCCGAGCCTTCCTGATCTTTAAGGCTTAAGCGCAAATGAGCCTTTGACAATACTAGAACCCTCTCAGCATATTTGCTACAAAATTTTCTCTCTTTGAAACAAACCTCTTCTGATGTTGATTATTGCTGCTAAAACACGAATTAAACATTGATTCCATCGGAATTTGATCTTAGTGAAGGCTAAAATCCAAGAGAACCACTCTTGTTAAAAGAAACAAAGATCAGGCTAGCCTCGTTTCCTCGGTGCTTTGGAAGACGCTTCTTTTGCACTGGTGCTAATATAATGATTAAACCACCGACCAGAAATAAGGTAATGTACATTTAGAATAAACACATATATGTATATGATCACTTAGAAAATACAATTAGAAGATAATCAAAGACAAAAAACTAGGATTAATCGAAAATTGAAGTCTCAACTTGCCACGAAAATATCCATAAAAATGTGGTTCTAACTACCTCCTTTGAATAGCCATCTCTAAGTGCATAGTGGCGCCCCATTGTCCCTGAGAGAGAGGTAAACTCTGTAACAACTGCAGTTGCAAGATCTGCCATGGCTAATGAGGCCGCATCTTGGATGACTTTGAGTTTGTCTTCACTAATTCCAAGAGACAACCCAACTTCACTAACCAAATTCTGAACTCGTGACATTTTATCTAACATAGTTCCTAGCTTCTCCTGCATAGACACGTTATCATTTTGCAAAAACTAGATCAGCAGAAATTAAGGGCTAAGAATCAACATATTAGCTTCAATCACTAGCCAGATATACCATGTGAGACTACTGTCTCTTAACAAAATTGTTCGAAGCACTAGTCAGATATACAATATGAGATTATAGTTTCATATGTATATTCATTTAATAAGTGAGATTCATTAATTGTCTTCTTGAGCGAGGATCTTTCGGAAACAGTCTCTCTACTCTCCGGGGTAGGGGTAAGGTCTGCGTACACTCTATCCTCCCTAGACCACACTTGTGGGAACTCACTGTGCTATTGTTGTTGCTGTAAGTGAGATTCATTAATTGCACCAAGAAAGTGCTGGTATGTCCATCAAAAAGACTAATTTAAGATTTGATAAATTACAGACAATTCTATAAGACCTCCTTCTCACAGAATAAAGAATTCAATACTAAACCTTGTATCCAAATTTAACAATTAATAAGAATTCCCTGATCAGAGAGGCCAACAAAAGCTGCAATTATCCAAAAAAAGAAAGTGTTAAAGATGGAAATCTAAGACTTACATGGAAAAGAATCCCTTTCAGTTGAGGACGAAATTCAGAAAATTTTCTACTTGTGTCCATCTCGTAGAAAAATTTTGCATCTTCAAATCGAGCTCTGCACAGATGCATATGCAGTTCAAATCTTTAAGCACATACCAGTTATCATAAAGAAAGCTGATACAGGATCAAAGTGAAATCATAAAAAATGCAAGTATCTTTATTTGGGCCTGCTTCGACTCCTGTATGTAGCACCTAGATCAAAACATTAGGAATGTTCAGGGAAAGAGCCAAACTGAAGGATAGTAACCTCAGCACAGCTTCATTTCCTTTTCTGACTACCTTGTCATCAATTGATCCATTTGCAACCTGAAAGATCAAATCCATATCAAGTTACAGACACAAATTAACATCTCACATTCAGCTAAGCATGCCACTGTTTTCCACAGATACAAGATAGTGAGGATTTCTCACCGTGATGAAGTACGGCAACAGTTTCCCGTTCTCATCTATCATGGCGAAGTATCTTTGATGCTTCTGCATCACCTGCAATACATGAAACATAGTTTTTTAGAAAAACTGACTCTAACAGGACGAAGAGCTCAAGAAATACTCAAAAATAGCGATATGCAATAACAAGGAAAATGACAAAAACAGAATGTCATTCTTAAACCAGCCCCCCCCCCCCCCCCCCACAATGACCCTGCAGTCAAGACATGCTTGACAGTTACCAGCACCTCAATTTACTAGGTAGGGGATGATAACAGATATGCATGGAACCATGTATTCTTCCCTGCACTGCAACCGGTAAGCAGTTCTATATGAATTAAGCTATTGGTTTTTGGATATCCAAATGAAAGAAAGAGAAGTAGGGAACTGTTATTATTTTGGTCAAAGAAAGGACTGTTAACACATATAGTGTTTAATCCTAAAGAAATGCTCTTATAGTATTTCAGCCTACGCTAGCAGAAATATTACATAATCTTCCCAGAAACTGTAGCATCTAAATTTCTGATCCAGAGAGAGAAATGGGTTAAAAGGGATTGTCCTTAAGTAGAATTTCAAAATTCTTATTCCCATCACCAGAGGCATTAGTATTTTCTGCTCAACCCTAATAATATCACAAAATGGCGAAAAGGACAAAACAATTTATAGTTCCAGAGAGTACTCGAGTTTACCATTATAAGAAGCTCCTTTGGAAGCTCTAAGAAGGAGTCATCAAATTTGCCAAGTACAGGTAGGGGTGCCTCAACAAGATTTACGACCTAAGCATCCAGGAAAACGCTTAAATACTATTCTTCTGACAATTGAATAGGAAAAGTCTGAAACTTCATTTGTTACCTCATCAAGCAAATCACTTTTCATTACAATATGGCCATGTACACTTTTCGCTAAATCATTTGAGTGCTCCATAATTGTCTTCTTCCGTTGCTGATATTTGATAAAGGTTGAATATCTTTTAAAATCATCAACAAGCATAGGAAGTACAAATGGAGGTTTATATAAAACTTGAATTACCTCGACATCAACAAGAATCCCAGCATCCTGCATTACATTTGCATAGGTTTCTGCATCCAGAATCTGTAGTATTTTGTTGAGAAAATCCATCAGAGATTTTGTTTCCAAGGGTAAAGGAAGTACTATAGTAATTCTCCTAAGAAAGTGAAGCTAGAATCTCTCTAAAAAAATTAAAATAGAGAAAAAGAAAAAAAGAACTTGAATTGAATTGAATTTTAACAACATATATAGGAGTCTTTTAGGGTACTTAAAACATGATAAGTAATTAGTCTCTATGTTGGTAAATATTTCTTCTTGATGGTAACATAAATTATTAACGGTGGGAAAAATCTCGCTATTAAGAAAGTGAGTCTTGGGCTTAACTCACCTCAAAAGATACTCATGAGATAAGGATCGTCCAAGACCATCTATGGATACAACATCACATTCCCTCAACCAATGTGGGACACTTCACCCTTCCTCTCCCGTACATCCAGGATCTAGTGCGAGGACAACATAACATGGGAGCCCTTCGGGTAAACCGAGAATAGGATGGGTTTGGCTCTAATATCATGTGAGAAAATCTAAACCTCCAACCCAAAACCTTAAGGCGAGAAATGGCGCAGTCCAAAACCATTAAACCCCGTAGGAAACTCTTGCATAACCGATGAGGGCCAAGTATAGCATTCCCTAACCCCCTCTTGCACATGTAACTTTGTTCTAGGGTTTACACACGGATTAAAGACTTAAATTATGTTTTCTTTGCTCCATCCCTTTTTTAAAGGAGATAGAAGAGCAGACCTGATGTATAGATAGACAGAGAGTTAGAGAGTCAAAATTTCAACTGATTGGACCACTCCCCTTGATGTCAACCAGGTTAAAAAGCATATCTTTTTGGAACCCTAGGGATCCAACTGATGGGTGAGAGCCAGACCCTCACTAATAAAAACCTTATGGTAATGCGCCCTAACTATGAATAGTCCACACTCCCGTCCCCACGCCTACTTGTCCTGGCTAACCTGTATTATACTGTGTTTTATAAAACATTTCAACCAGCCTTCACAATTCTACGACCTCCCAAATGGAAGTGTGACATTTTTCACTATCACCTCCCCCCAACAAGCATGCCTCTCGATCTCAAATTTTCATAGCCACTTTCCTGATAGGGCCTTATCAATGACTCTAAGATCTTCACCTCAAGGCCTCACCATCTCTTTAAGGATGTTAACCGCCTCCCAACACACCAAAAGAGGCTTTCTTGCTCCATCTGCTATGAAAATAGGAATTTCTTTAGGAGTATTTCCAATTTACTTAAAAGCTGGCCTATACACAATATTCAAACACTAAAGACATTATAAAATAGTCAAATATTATGGAAGAACAAAAAGAGCTGCGACACTGAACTGGCCACCAGAAGAGACGAGACTAGTAAAAATATGAAAAGAACGAAAAACTCTATCTAGGCAGGCCGTGTAAGGCCGACAGCCGAAGGCAAAAGCTGCTTATGCCTTTAAGAAAAAGGTAATGGTTCTAACTTTCTCAAGAAAAAACACAAGATCATAATGGTTCTAACACCACATGAAAATAGAGAAAAAAGTAGAGAACAGTTGTATTAAATTGGGTATCAACAATGTACAAGAAGGATTCCTTTCCAAATAAGTTATGTAACTTCCTAATGTTCAAGACGTAATATCCTATGATGTCTTAAAAATCACAATGGAATATTGTATAATATTCGCATACTCAAATTCGATGAATCTAGACATATTCTGAACATATAACAGCATTAGTTCCCTTGATATTCAATCGTAATGAGAAAGAACACAAGGCAGATGCAACAAAAGGGTGAAAAAATGGTGAGAAAGGCGGCAGCGAAATGTTTACAATTTTGTTCACAGACCTTAACTGTAACTGATGGAGTATTGCGTAGACCATGAGATACATTTCCACTGTAGGAAAATAGACAAATAAAGTAGTAAGAGACAAACCAAAAGCCATAAAAACCAGTAAAAAACTAAAAATGAACACTGACCACATAAAATCAGGAATACTACTGATAAATGCACAAAAAATATGCAGTCCAAGTACTCATCGGAAAAAATGTGCCCCCAGTGCGTATTTTGAGTTACCCAGGGCAGGCACAAAGTCAAGATTTTGAATTTCATTAACAAATCTGGTGAACTTCAACGGGATGCATTCTGAAGTAATTTGGAAATGAAAATCAAAGCTAAAACAACTGTAGCCTGCTGAGAATGTAAAAATTATTGTAATTGTAAACAAGGAAAGACTGGATACATCTACACTGGAAGCTTCACAGGAAGAAAGACAAAGATAATCAAGTGTATGACAAGGTCAACTTCAAGAAAAACTTTCCTGCAAGTGCACTGCCCTAAAATAGTCGGATACTGAAAGAAAGCTGAGATCACTCACTAGTTTCTTCTACTAAACTTTCATTTTCCCTTCAAATAACCACATCCAACAGAGCTTTTTTCATTCTCTTTAACATTTTGCTGAAGTCCCTTGACACAAATTCTCGTGACTTTCTTGACAGTGGACATCAAACAGAGAATTAGCTTCTTTTCACCCCCACCAACCCCCCTCCCTTTTGTGATAGGTGGGTGTAATAGGAGGAGATAAATCAATGCCGATATAATTTAAGAGTTGACAAATTACTGAAACATCAACCCTCCTGTTATGCACATTTGGAATAAAGTAGTAATGGAACTTCTTTTGAACCAAAATAAAAATGCAAGCAGGTGCTCACAACTTGCCTGACAACTCCAGCATAAATGAATGGAAGAACTACATCTCCATGAAGGGCCAAAATCCAACGGATGGGTCTGCTGAATGCAACCTACATTACAATATGTCAATGCACGTTATATTCAAATAGAATTTATACATTCTTTTATAATTGAAGATTTAACACGTGAGGAGCTGTGAAGAAAAAATTGAAGATAAATTTATGAATACATTTTGAAGAAAATGCCAATCAAAGCAAATATAGCACCAGAAAATGAAAAAGACTTGCTCCCGTGAACATAACCCAGGTTGATTACTTTGTTGCAATACTAAAAAGGATAAAAGAGCAAAGTTGAAAGGACACCATATAATATATCACTCTATTCAGGGCTGATTGTACTTTTCTTTCTTTTACTACTACAAAAGTAGTTTTGTTATAGGAAAGAGAGAAAAAAAGGGGAAGAACGGGAAGCATTCCCAATGACAACCGATGAAAAGCAGAAGTTATGTAGATTTTTCCAGAATCACATGTTACTATTGCCGTATTTCAATGCCATAAGACATACTACCTCCATTTCAATTTATGTGAACTTATTTCCTTTTTAGTCCGTGCCAAAAAGAATGACCCCTTTCCTTATTTGGAAACAATTTACCTTTATGCAATAATTTATAGCCACACAAAATATATGTGCCTCGTTTTACACCACAAGTTCAAAAGTTTTCTCTCTTTTCTTAAACTCCGTGCCCAGTCAAATGGATTCACATAAATTGAAACGGAGGGAGTATAACTTAGTCTTGTTTTCTAACATCAAAAAATCATAAATAAATAGATTATGACAAACTTCTGTCTTCAATTCAAAAAGAAGAAAGGATATGAAAAATCAGAAAAGAAACATGATTGGATCTCTATCTACACGAACACACATACATGCTGAAAATTGGAAAAAGTTCCTTAAAAGGGAAAGGATAATGGATCCATCATAATATAAGAGATTTAGACCAGAAGAAACACACACACACACACACACACACACACACAAAAAGAAATAGAACAAAATATCTTATTAGCTTAATTAGGTGTGGTATGGCATATCAGGATAAAGTAAAACGTCTGAATATTCCAAGATTGGTTTTTTCTTCAGCAACATATGCTATGATAGAGTAAGTTTTCAAGTGATGTAAAGAGATAGGTTTTCTTCATGAATAATTGCCCGCCCATGATAGGAGGATTTATTCTATCTGGTGCATCTCTTGTTTGGGCTGAGCAGGATTTACGGATGAGCAGAATTACTCCTCTTCCGAAAATCCTGCTTCTCTATCAGAAAATTTCTTATGAAGGAAAACAAGGGCTTCTTTTCTTTTTGACAACAACAGGGACAAGATAGCTGCTAAATGAATTTGAAACAAATTTTCTGGTGAAACCTTTGTCATAGTAACAGCCAAAGTGTTTTTGGCGCTGAAGTTCAGTTCCAACCCAACTTTACATCCTAAAATCTACTTGCCATCTTTTTCCCTTGCCACCCTGTAAGCTTGATAGGGAGGTTAACAGGAAGACAAATTATTCTGGCTATAGAAACCGGTTTGTTGCATAATATTCGTTATTTTTCAATGATCAAAAAAGGCAATAAAACACTTTATAATAAACAAACTGAAAAAGAAAAACACAAATATGGTCACGACTCACGAATATTGCAAAGACAAAGGATTAGTCAAAGTGATAGTACATACATCAGAGTTCCAACGCATAGACTTGGGGAATGATATGCTGGAAATTATGTCAGGTAGCTCTTCAGACAAAACCTGTCGATAGTGACTCAAACAATGAGATCTAAGAAAAACTGAAGAATTTAAAAAAAAAAAAAACATACTTGTTATATTATAAATTTATACAGAGCAACAGACGAACTACATGTAGCAACTTTTAAGAGATTTTTCAGGACACAATAAGCATATATAGAGCCTGTTTGGATGGGCTTGTTTTAAGTGACTTTTAAGCCAAAATAGCTTTTAAGCCATAAGTTAGGAATTCTAACTTTTTGCTTTTTGCTTGTTTTTGTCATTTTAGCTTAAAAACAAGTGCTTAAAAGCACTTTTTTACTTTATCCAAACACTACAAAATGGCTTAAAAGCACTTAAAACAAGCCAATCCAAACGGGCTCATAATTTCCACCAGAACGGCTTTAAGTTTTATGTACTATTGGTGAGGATGGCATAAATGGAACTGCAAAACTTAACTTGAACTAGTACCCAAAAAAAAAGGTTAAATCTTTCAGATGTCACTTAAAGATAAAAATGAATAGGAAGAAGGTGGCCTTCAACTATGCGATGGTCTAACATTACACTCCGTTAATAGTTGGGGTCAATCATGCCCTCAAATTATAAAATCGGTACATATTTACCCTTTATTTGCCAACTCAGCATTCGGAATCATTAAAAAAAATATTTAAAATTATAAAAAGTAAAAGAAAATAAAAAATGAAATAAGATTGGGTCCTTGGACGAAAGCCAGCCCAAGTTGAACAAATAGCTCTTTGTCAAGATATACTACCAAACTCTCCAATTACAGTGGTCATTTCTCTTATCTTTCTTCATAGAAGCTATCCAGGAACTTGACAACCAGTGGCCAGCTAACTGCCACAATGTGCTAACATCTCTTATAGGTGATTCCGATGGTAGACCCAGGTACATCGTTAAGACTGATCCACCCTCACAATTAAGTAATGTGCAAAAGCTGCTCAATGTTCTCTACCCTACCCCCCCCCCCCCCCCCAAGAATAATCGCACATTTATTTAGATTGAACTTTAGATCTGAAACTACCTGAAACCATAGCATTATGTGCTTGAAAAGTAGTAGTTGAGACACCTCTGCATCAGAAAATACTAATCTATGATGAACAAGCATATGATGATATATCTATACACTTCCTACCCACCAGCTACTTCTTGCGGGAACATAGTGTTTGCAGCCTCTTATTCTACTTCTAGCTATTTCAAAATGGTATTTCTCCAAGTCCTATGACCTCAGCGTTACTGCAAATCACTTGAAGCCTCAGCATAAACTATTATAATAGTGAACTTCTTTAGGAAGGTGCACCTCATCCTCAGACAACTCAAAGTGAAAGAAGAAAATTGAGTAACAGAATATCTTTGGTTGCATGCAGGATGCTTATGCAAAAGGGTTAAAAAGCAGGATTGACACACAAACAGACAGAGAAAGCTTCAGAAGAAAAGAAGCCACACCATTTTGATGGAGCTTGATGCCAATCATGAACATCAAAAAATGCTACTCTAAATAACACTCTTCTGGGTGTATATGTGCGACAGAAATATTTTGCAGTCAATTCGCTTACGTGGACTTGAACAACGGTAATATACCCGTTTCCATTATCCTGTTCATACAATCGTTATCAAATATAGCCAAACATCACAATGAACAATGATTAACTTTGTAACTTGTAGCAGTAGCCTTGGTCATACAACCCTACTAAAGTTAGCTAGGAAAACATACACAAAACACTTATTTTCTCTGTGTACCTCGAAAGCAAGCCGTGCTGGCTCCACCAAACGAACATAGACATATTCTGTTTTCCCTGCAATCAGAGGTAAACATTGAAAACATAAACATTGGTAGCATAGATGGTGCCACATGAACAAGCAACATGTAAACCATTGACACAGAAACACTAATATATTAGCAATGCAATGACAATCTTGTAAATTAACAAGCTCTGCATAAGTTGATTCTGGCTATGTATAATTTCCACATGAGCGGCATATTTAGAAGGCCTTATCGGGATCATTAATACGCTTTAGATCTATGGAAAATTGGGGAGAAAAAGAAAAGACAGAAAAAGGTGTTGCCTCTTTCTCAGAATTGTTGTCATTTTCACCTCCCGAGTCAAAGGAGAAATATGTAACCAAAATAATGAAATATATCCTCATTCTGAAATGGAAAAAGGTTGCAACTTATAGTAGTTTTCATGTAATTTTTAAATATACAAATTTTATTTTTACAAAGTGAATGACTCTTTGACCGATATAAGATCGAAAAAATCATCAAATTAGCCTTGAGGTCAACTGGAGATGCGCCTCCTATCAATTTTTCTGGTCAATGATGATAATTCCAAACTTCAGGTCATAGACATGATCAGAAAAGGAAAAAATATTCAGGAAAAAAAATAGAAAAGCATTGCCACCAATCAAAATGGCAGATTTTTGTTAACACACTTAGGGCACTAAGATCAAGCCGACACAAGTCATAGAATATAAGTGAATAAATTCCAAGGCCCAATATTTGCTTGTAGTGTTGACAACCTTCGAATAACAGATACTTTTGTCAGATATTTAAACATATATCTGCTAAGACATTGATTAGGTAACAAAGGTTTTTGAAGGTACAAGATCCTTTATCAGACACTGAAACTTTGAAATAAAAAGATAAACTGGAATAGGAACTTCAGAGAAAATTATCAGATTTTTTAATAAGTAATTTCAGGTTGTCAGAGATAACAAATAGCAGATCAGACGTCACAAAATAAATCTAAGTAGTTTTCCACATTTAAGCGCAAGTATTTTCAATGAATAACATATGATAGACTAAATGAACACCAGAATTCACATGAACAAACACTGACATAGAAAGAATGTTCATCTGATGTAACGTACCCTCAGCTCGTCTATACATGGAGTCTAAAGGCACATCATTTCTGCGACAAAAACCTTCAGCAGCCTGAAAGTTGTATGAGTTGATAACATCAAATATGAGTTAGCAAACACAAACTGATCTTATATTCATCGAAATAAGAAACTATATTAAAGCTCTGTCCAAAATTAAATCAAAGTCTAACAAACAAGCAAAATATGCCAATATATTTCTTAAGGCACATTGTAATACGGAATAAACTAATAAAAGAATAAACAAAATTCAAATCACTCCACCTTGGTAGGGTTTCCTTCCTTATCAAAAGCTTTTGAAACAGGAGGTCCACGAACCTCAACCTCATTTTCCACTTGCTTAGAAAATAGCTCCTCAACACTAACCTGCAAATGATCTTTATCAGCATCTATAAGGTGAAGAGAAACCAGTGAATAGCGAGAATTTGGAGGAACTAAGTTAACTCGTGGAAAAGATAAATCCTCCAAGGTCAGCACAAAGCCTATGGCGCCATTTGAAAAGACCCAGAAGTGCTATAAACATTGTAATTACTTTTATTAACCCGATTCATTTAGCAAGAAATCAGTCAAGGTACTGTTGGAAACGCATAGTTAGGTTCATTGCATCCCTTGCATCAACTAAACCAAAAAATACGAGAAGGTCTTGGACACTATTGACTATCAAATTACTGAGACTCCATAATCAACCCAGTGAATTACGACAAAATGGATTAACTAGGAGCCAGTAAGAGCATGGACCGGCAATATGTTCAAAGAATACACAAGGCACAGAGCAAGGAAAGCGACACTGAGTCAGCTCCAAGTTGGACTAAATGAACGTCGCAAAGACCGGCCACATCGGCAACGTCTTCCAACTATGGAAGGAGCAGGAAGCCCTCTAAGAAGGAAAAATTGAAGTGGCAATGAGGAAAAAAGATAAAGAAGAGGATGATGATGATGATGATGATGATGATGATGACGACGATGATGATTAGGATGCAATTTTGTGGACCTCAGGAATTACACTGTGTTCGATGAGGTGGAATACACAGATACGGAGGAAGTTCGAAATGATGCTCACGTAAAGATAGAAACTAATGGAGGAAAGAGTGAAACTCCAGCTCAGCTGAGTTCGAGGATTTTCCTATCCAGACATTCTATTTTTAAAAAAAAGGAACTTGGGTTTTGTACTTTCTGGAACTCGTCTTACTCTTTAAAAAACATTAGACGTTCCATAAAAACAGATCCTGAAGAAACTGACTTTGCCTACATTTAAGAACTCTTGTAGCGTATACAGGATTTGATATTGGCTTTATTCTTATTGAACAACTCATGTAACATATAACCGATTCGGCAAAGGTTTCAACAAGAAGTTGCATGTATTGGGGCTTGGTTCAATCTTTTCCTTTTTTAGGTTACATGGATCTGAGAACAATCAAAAAGTTTAGTGAGAATGCTAGATAAAATGTTCAAAAGATACTGCACTCCTTTTCCTACCAGCTCCTTTCTCATAGACATTTCGTACAGCTTATCAAAGCAAACCAGAATAACAGAATATGTAAAGGGGACCAATCAGAATGAGACAAATCCTACCACTAATCTTCGTGGGGTGCCATGCGTTTGTACTTCCCCATGAGGCAACCTTTGTTTGTCCAGTAACTGAACAATCAGATCCTTGAGCTGCAATGACCAGCACAAAAACAAAACAAAAAAAACAGATTGAACAGAGCAGTAATACGACCAACTAAGCTGAATTGCTTGAAAACTCACACCAGATGACATCACAACAAATTAAGGCAAGAGAAAATGTAGACCTGGTTTCTCTTTTCCCGCTTCCCTTACCATATTTACAATATAAACTTCAGGAATAGAGATTTTCAAGTAATAAAAATGAAAATCGCATGAAAAGAAGATATTTACTTGCTTGCAGGCACTCGATACATCGTTTGGAGGCAACTCCTCAGTCCCAATTTCAAGAACAAGCAACCGCGGCTCCAAAGGAACCTGTATGACCGGAAAAAGGTGTGCAAGCAATTTTACATAATCCATTAGAAACATATAAAGGTTACGAAGAGAATGTGAAAGCAAATCTGGCAAGTTACAAAAGTAAATGTTCCATAAATATATTCTGGATCACATCAAGAGACCATAAAAAATATGCACACAAGTACTCAATTCCAACCCAGGTAAATTAAGAGAAAGTGGAGATGTTTATCCTATTGAGCAAAGAGACAAGTGGGAAAATGAGAAGGAAAGGGAAAGCCTAAATAGACCCAAGAGAAAAGGATGACCAGTATAGTTCATGAAAAATTAATAGAAGAAAATAGCAATAAAAGAAACGGGATGAAGCTACAACTCTTTTGGGAGATACACAGCAAATTAGGGGCCCAACTGATTTTATGCTTCGAAACTAGGGAAAGGATGAGACGGGTCAAAAAAACAAGAGAATATTAAAGAGTACAAAAGCAAGGAATATCAGCTTCTTTTCATTGTTTGGTTTGCTAGAAACATCAGAAAGGAAAGAGATTTTTAATTTATTTTCGTATTGAACTAAAATTGTGGGGCCAAAAAGTGCTTTCTCTCATTATATAAACCAAGCAAGAGAAAGCAAATCTTTAACATATCCTTGCTTTCTCTAGTTTCCAAGCGAAGCCTAAAGCGAAAAAACATACCTTTCCTGCTGCCTCCTCGAAGACTTCTCTTTGAACAAAAAGATGATCACACTGAGAAACAACACCCAGTGGATGGCCAAGAGACTCCCTTGTCTTCAACCAAAGCTGTGCGCATTGACGGGCTAAACTGCACAGGGGAGGCAAAAATCAGGCAAAGAAAAAGTGTCATTTGAAAACTTCCAAATTTTTCAGCGTAAAGTAATTTGGCACAGTAGTTCTGACTTCTCTTTGTAATATAGATTTACTCCCTCCATTTCTTTTTACATGGCTTTGTTTGACCGGGCACGGAATTAAGAAATAAAGAAAGACTTTTGACACACACCAAATGTACCCTAAAAACTTGTAGTTTTAAACATGTGACATTTATGTGGTTATAAGAACATCTAATTAGACGTAAAAATGGAAGCTTAAAGTTAAAGATTTTCCAGACATCAAAAGATGTTCTTAGAACAGACTAAAAAAAAGTGCCATAAAAAATGGAACATAGGGAATATATATTAAGCACGATCTAGAATTTGGAACTTGTGTGAGCAAACTTTTACAAGTGACCGAAAAGGTAGGCTGCTCAATCCTCATGAAAAACCTTAAGAACGCCCTACAAACTCTCCGACAAGATCAGTAATTTAAGGAAGTGATAAAAATGTTTACCTACGCATACGCCCAAAATAACGAGCACGTTCCGTCACCCCAACAAAGCCTCTCGAGTCTAAAATGTTGAAAGCATGAGAAGTCTTCAAAAGCTGATCATACCTAGCACAGTGTAGGGAATAATGCTATTCAATGTAGAAGTTAACAGATGAAGTAAAAACACGATTTCTTCTCTATTCCCTGAAAAAAAAAAATTATTAAGATTTAAGTACATACGCAGGTATTGCAAGGCCTAAATCAAGCAAACGGCGAGCTTCTGCTTCAAAAAGATCAAAATGTTTTTGTATATGGCCAACACTAGCATGCTCCAGATAATACGCACTCATCTCCTTCCTGAAACAGAAGCACCAGTTGGGATCTCTTTTCTGAAAATGACAGATTTATCAAGCACGCACACTCCAAATTTTTTTTTTTTTTTTTTGATTTGCACCGGGTGTCCGAGTCTCTAAGAGCCCCGACTAATCCCGGGGGTGCACAGACCCTCGGCAGTTTCCCGCAAGTGCACCACGGTTAATTCAGGTTTTACCCAGTCCGATGGCCCTCAGAAATTGTTTGCACCCAGTGGGTTTCGAACTTGAGACCTTGAAAGGGAGCAAACCCCAAGGCTCAAGTCAATTGCCACCAGGCCAATCCCTGAGGGTTCGCATACTCCAAATTTTATTATCACATAGAACACCACATAAAAGCCCTTACAGATAATTCAGCACTTGTCCAAATTAAATCATAAATAAAAAAATCTTGGCAAAAAGTCTAGACATTGCAATCATATGCTATGCATTATATCTTAGAACATGTATTTGAACTAATATTCGTCCCAAATGAGTCACCATGCTCGACTTTGCAAGGTTACTGTTGAAGATACAATTAAGCATATAAAAGTGTGCTCTCTCTAATAGGCTCAAGCTTTTAGATGAAATAGTGACACTTCAACATGGTATCTGAACTTGCAGATGTCTTCAGGTAAATTCACATACTAATGGACTAAACAGAAAAGGTAAATATTTCATTTGAAACAAAGGAAACAATTTCAAATCTTTTCCGGTAGACTACTACGAAATACTAATGTAGGTAATAGTCTATTACAAATCAGTTTGAAAATTTCATGACCAGTCCGCAATTTCAAAAGAATTCCATGCTCTAGTGCGAGTGTCTATATCTAACATGTTGATACACTTAGGTTGTCAGTAAACATGCCTAGTCCAATTTACATTCCTCCTCTGTAACTAGTGTTTTTTTTTTCACACATCATAAATCAAGGTTCCTTTACTTATACAGTTAGAATTTGGAATTTAAAAGCAACATTTATGCTCAACGAAAAGAAAATGGAGTAGATATTGTTCTTATTGAAGATAGTTTGAGCCTAAAGAAAGACCAGATAATAACAGTTCTGAAAGGGCAAAAGAAAATTAATGAGAAGCACCGTGATCTATCTAATAGTAAGGCAGTCAACAAGAAGGAAAAAGAAAACTTTCTAGCTGGATTAGTTTATTTACTCATTTTCCAGAAAAAGCTCTCCATACGTAATGCCATCTGCATACTGAATCTTTTTAAAATGATCAACACCCTGCAGACAAGTAATAATGAGTCATAACAAGGAAAATATTGGAGAACCAGAAGAGAAATGCTTAGTTTATGCTCTTCGTTTTCTAAGATACCGGCAGTGAGGACCTCCTACATGAAGGTTTTTCTGCTAGCTAGGAGACATAGTAAATGTAGCTATCATGCTGGAGGCTCTGGTGCAAAAATAGAGAAGTAAGAGGTGCTTCAAACACACTATGATCCAATTAAAAGAGTAAAACAGCTAGATAAGGCCTTTTTCTCCTTTGCTGGGAGAAGAGGATGCAGAATGTAAACAGTGAGCCTCATCATATGTTTGAAGAAGAAAAAAGAAAGTAAGAAATCATAAGAGGAGAAAGAACAAGCCTGAAAGTGATCTCAACAAGCAAAATTAACCTGAAGTGACATAAGGATCCGTTCAAGCCCGTAAGTGATTTCAACTGATACTGGCATCAATTGAATACTTCCCGCCTGGAAAATTAAAAGTTAAATAACTGTATGCGCATAGAAAAAGGACAGAATAGAAAAGCGGATGGACAAGTTCTTATGAGTCATCAGTAGCCAAAAGCAAATGAAGAATTTCAGACTTGTTCTTGTTGGGGAAAAAAAAGGATTCTAAAACTGCAGTACACTTTTGTCAGAAGAGAGAGACTAACCTGCTGGAAGTAGGTGAATTGTGTGATTTCCATCCCATCCATCCAAACCTCCCAGCCCAATCCCCAGGCACCAAGCACCTACTAGTAGTTCAAGTCAACAGAACATTTAATAATATAGCTTTGATTCATGTAGCAAAAGACATCATTAATGCAATCCAAACAAAATTGGAAATTTGCCTGAACAAGGAAATAAGTACAAAGGAAATGAAGTACAAAGGAGATGTACTGTTCATGGAACATTATATGCGCATATATACGAAAGTTAATCAAGAGAAAGAATAATCTTACAGGGCTCTCCCAGTTGTCCTCAACAAAGCGAATATCATGTGCATTGACATCAATACCTGTCAACACAACAAAGTAAAATCTCAAGCCAGAACGGTTTCTAGAGCTACTATAAAATATATATATATATAATGCACACACACAACCGTGAAACTTGCACGCATCCAACAAGTAGAAGGAGAAATAACAAACTGTAAAGTGCATCCCTATTTGGTTAAGTATGGTCGAATCTAAGCATAAAGTCATACAATTTTTAGTTATACAAGAATAAGAACAAGAAAAGGAGAAAAAGACTAATCCATTTATTCAACTAACGTAGAACATTAAAACCTTCTAAACTGCTTTTCAGAAGAATCCCATTTACCATTTAAGCCACTTAAACAGACTCAAAAAAATAAAACATACACTTTTAGTTGAAGCTTAGCAAAGAAGGTAAGTAAATGGCTGACTATATAGAGCCAGTGTGATCAATTTCTCTATCCTGTCTTCCTTGTATATACCAGGCTTGAATTCCAGGATTGAAGTAAAATGATTAAGCATTTTCTAGGTTAGCAATAACTTGTAGCAGGGAATTTGTAAAATAAAAGAGGATATGAAATAAATAGTCAATAGGTGCCAGATGATTTGACGTGGGAGAATATATTTAGGAAGTCAAACGTGTAACACATTCGGCACAATCTCCTCCTATATAGTGGACACCACGAATCTACCAGGTCTTGTTCTTGATGACAAATCCTCACCTTGCTCTTGTAAATCTAGCCCCTTCTAGAGGAACTCCAAGAACTCCTCAATTGCCCTAGACATGTTCTGCACCCTCATTTTCTTCCGGGATCTTATGGTACATAAAACTCCCTCCCCAACATCCATTGAATACCCAAACCGCCGTTATTGTGGACATCTCTTCAGTCTTCCCTAGATTTGTCCATACAATCCTTCGAATCTCTGCTCCTCCCTACTCCCTTGATTTCTAATATGAGCTGCAAGTAAAAAGTCTCCTTTCCTCACCTCCACATGTCCCTCACAAATCCTCCGCCTTCTTAAAGAACTCCAAGTACCGTCTGCCGTCTGCCCTCTCAAGTCTTCAGCTATCTTAGGTGCGTTTTGGATTTCTTTAAGAACCCAAGAAATATTAATAACAATGAAGTCTTCAACTGCCTCGGGTTCAACACAGACTAGCTAGTCACAGCCTAGCTAGTCTTCAACTGCCCCTACCCATTCTCTGCCCTCTTGAAGACTTTTGAAACTTGCTCTTCACTTGCGGACTGAAATGGGAATGTGGCATCACCCAATGGCGACACCTTCAAATCAAAGCTACACCACAAGGCTTTTTCCTCAATTCCCTTTTAACATATCAAGGCCTCCAATATGAAGCAAAGTATGTTCTCTTTTATATGAACAATGAATAGACAAAAACTCTAGTTTCGTTGGCCTATTCAAGCAAGGATGCTCAATCACCTATATGGCACATGTTTCCTTCAGTTCATCCTTGCAATTCTTCCTAATCACATTTTCCATCAGCATGTTCTTTGCCTCAACCTTATATTACGTTCTAATCCTACTTCGAACTCTAAGTTTGTGCTCTATTTCTAAAAAATCGTTGCCACGCATGCCTTTTACCAAGCAGATCACAGACATATCCAAATTCAGTGATCACAGCATTCTAGCCGCAACACAAAAGCAAAAAATTATTTTTTTAAAAAATCATGGAATAACTCCTCCATTCCTCCAATGCTTTGAGGCTTAAACATGGGATAGTTTGCAAGTCTTTGTTATTGGTAAGCCTTACAGTCTTATCACTTACCATAAGCATCAAATTGACTTATCCCGGAAATAACATCAAATTGAAGTTATTTTTACCACATAAATTAGTCCAAAAGACATAATGTAGGAAAAAGAAAAAGAAAGTAAATATAGGTTGCAAACCTAAAGCTGACAAGCTACGGATGAACAAGTCCTGTGAATTTCCTGGATCAGGCTTCAAAATCACCTGCATTGCAGTTCAAACAGGAAAGGCATCTGGAGTAGTCAAAAGTACAATAAAATCATACAATAGTACTAAGCAATCAACTGAGATTCAAAATATTAGACAATAAATTGATGGCAAACTAACCTGGAATTGAGTATGCCTTTGAAGCCTATTTGGATTTTCCCCATACCGACTATCATCTGGACGAATACTAGGCTCCACATACCTGCCATCAGACACAGTTACATTGATAGCCATAAAAGAAAACAAAGCAATGTATTCGCTTCATTGCTAATATGACATCATTCTTCTTGCTCATTATCAAGATTATGAGAACCAGAAAAGAGAAAATGAAGCATAAAGAACTAGATAGTGAATCAGTTACAGCAGGCACTTCCACCGGCGAACCTCAACAAAATAATATGAATTAAAGGAACTGGATATCTTGGAATAAAGCTGCATGCAACTGACTTATCCATTCTCTGTGCCGAACTCATTTTCATCTAGTTAGAATGACAAAATTTTCAATTCTTCTGAGAGGTGGGAAAAGCATGATAAGAAGACCATCTGAAATTAGCAAGAAAAGAAATGGGCATCTGCATCCCAAAGCTCCTGTCCGATTTTATAGGGGACTCAATCTCTCCAGATTCACAGTTACCATGTCCTTCAGCTTAATTTTCTGCATAAATGATTTTATTGTGTGCAAAACTTTTGGTTCAGGATAGAGAACATGACACGTATTCGTCTTTTTAGATTAAGAAGATCATCTCCTATTATCAGAAGCCCTAATTTTTAAGTCAGCTTGTAGCCTATGTTCAATCAATACCTACTGACTCGCGACATGGACAGCATTATTTTAGCTTAAATAGAGCTAGATCACCACGGAGGATGTTGCCCCCCTCCCCCAACCCCCTACTCTGCTTTAGGTGGCAGGACCGCAGGAGAGAGTAATAACCTAATAAAACTTTGATTTCTTTCATCTTGTAACAAGGGAGGAACAAAAGAGAATCTTACTAAAGAGTGGCACCAGGCAATGCCATCCCAGGAGCAACAAGAGAACTTATTGATGCCATAGGCCCCCCGTTTCTTCATGGGGAAATATCATGAGAACAGAATAATTAATGCGATATAACATCCTTTCTTTGTTCGCACAGTTTAGACATTTAAAAGGCAAACCTGTTATCATTGCCAATGACACTAACAATGACTACGGGTTTTTTTTTTTTTTTGGGACAAGTAACAATGACTAATATGTTACTTTGCATTAAAGAGACTATCTAAGATGTGCACGACTTCCCTACGCATTTACTCTCTTCTTCTAAAGAATTCTGGTCAAATATGAGAATGATTATTGTATTCAAGAACTTTATACATGAAATGAGCTTATCAGAAAATCTTACGCAACATTCCATGGTTCTGGTCCAAGAACCCTTAAGTATGTTAGAGGATTCATAGTCCCAGCGCCAACCTGGTCAATGCAATTTTAACTTAAACACGTTAGTAAAGTAGATGCGAAGAACTCTAAAGATTGTAAGTTCAATTTAAACACTTAAAGATCTAATAACCACTAAAAGCCCATTCATGTTATGGCTGTACAAAGCACTATTTATCACCAACCATATGTAAGTGCAATACATATCTAATCCAGATTAAGTGCGATCCACATTACATATAAACATGCAGTCCCAAAGTACGGAAGGAGAATATGCTCAGCATTTCCTTTATGTTTTTTTTTTTTGGGTAATCAAAATTATCATTAATCACCAAAGAACAGCATTGCAAAGCACAGCTTAGCTACTCCCAGCTAGCTAGATCTCAAAGAAGATACACGGAAAGACTATATCTACCAAGATGCATTTCCTTTATGTTGTTATCATAGAAAAGTTACACACTACCTATCCCAAAAAAAAAAAAAAAAGTATGCAAGGAAGATAATACTTAGTTCTTGCAACTTGCAAATCACCATTTACGACTTTGATAAGATATCAAGTTTCCTTAAAAAGAAAAGCATCAATTCCAGCAGAAAAGCAAGTTCTTTTTTTCCTGTTATGTGTTAGAGTATATTTTTTGAGCCCTAAAAAAGGATGATAATCATACCTCGGTGTTGCTGCATTGCATCACGGCGCATCCTACAGAACCCCAATACTCCTACCATGTTAAAAAGAGAGGTTAATCCATAAATAATTTTAAGACAGATATGAAGTGTATCTACACCGAGTGGCAAGGTTAAAAACGATTGAGGAGTGGAAGTTGCTTGACTGCATTAGCCATCTACAGAATTGAACTTTCTATTATGAATAAAAGTTTTACCTAATCACATTATCACAATAGAAAAATTGAATAGCTTATTAAAAAAAATGTTTTTTGCGTAGTTTCTTACTTGTGGTAGGACTAATGGTAAGACTTCAAAATAGTGAGTTGGTACGATCTTGAAATTAAATAAGATCAAAATTTTTGCAACAAATATACTATGTCCAAGAAAAATGAATGAAGTTTCTCTACATTAGCTATTCAATGTATATTTTGCTCAAGAAAGGAAATTGTAACACAATTACACAACCCCATTAAGTAGAAAATACCTGGAGCCTTTGAATGGCTTGTTGGAAAGTTGGAACAGATGGTTTCTTTTGATATTCTGTATTGTGAGAAACAGAAGAAGAAGTGGAGAGTGCAGAAACAGTGGAAGATTTAGAGAGAAAACGCCTGTGAAGAATGATAGGAAGAGGCTTAGGTGTTATTAGGAGAAAGGAGAAGTAAGTCTTGTGAGGTTTGAGAATGGAAGTGACTAATGGGAGCGTAAGAATCGCCATTGGGAAACCTCACAAGTTGCTGCTTTCTGAAATTCTGGGTGGGGTTTATCTTTATCCTAGACTAGAGTGGCGATAAAGAAATAGATTACAGAAAGGAGGACATTTTCATTTAATCCCTATAACTAGACAAATTAACAATCACTTACCCTTAGGACTCGGAGAAGTTTAAAATTTGAGTTGAGTTAAATGTTATCATCTCAACAAAAAACAAAAAAAAATTGAGTTGAGTTGAGTTAATATTAACAATTTGAATCAATAATTATTTTCTTTAATGAGAATAAATAATTAAGTCTTTAAATTAATTAATTAGCAAATAATCAAATTTAATTCTTTTTAAATTCATTGTATACAAAAATTATTTTTCAAGTTGATAAAACTTTTAGGGTACATAAATTTGTTTTACCAAGAAGAATATTGGCGTGTAGAGAAATCAAAAACAAAGCAAAATTAATTATATTATAGTATTAAGAGTCACATTAGTAAGAATAAAAACTTGAAGCAACGAAACTATAGAAGAAAAAATTGAACTATGAATTATGAAAAAGTTGATTATTAGCAAAAAAATTGAATTATTAATGAATTGCCATTAATTTTTTCTTTCTTTTTGCACTTATTCCAACAATTTGACAGTTCGTTGTAATTTTTTATATATTAAGTTATTATTCTATATTAACTGAATAGTAATTATTGTTATACTTTAAATTGTTACTTATCAATTTTTTTAAGTTATACGGTCAACCTCTTCATTTTTTATTTAAAAAAAAAATAAAAGATTCAGTTTTTTAAACTTATTTTATTTCACAATTTCTTAAATAATTATAATTAAAGTAGTTTTATATTACTTGTTCATTTTTACTATTCACGAAAATAACAGCAATATTTTAAAGATACTCTTGCATAAGTCATCACGAATCATAATAAGCACCCGAGAGGACTTACGAGGCAAGATTTCTTTCTTAATAAGCTAGTTAAATGAGATCAATAATAATTATTTTCGAAAACTTAGACCTTTCTTTAACTTTTATTTTATAGCCCAAACACATTGTTTAATTTAATATTTATGTACTTTTCTCAAAGTTGTTTACTGATTGATATGAGTCACATGTGCAAAGTGTATGTCGTTGTACCCAAAAGCTATTAAATTGATCAATGCTAAATGCAGAGAAAATTCGACCAAACCATTTTTGAATGCCAGTGTTAAGATGCTTAGCAAAGCAAATGGTTTCCAACTCCCACCTAAAACGTTATAGACGTAAATTGCCATTGAAATGTTTTTCACCTCTTTGTATTGCAAATTTATTGAGAACCTAGCATGCATTTCACATAGTTTATAATATAATGTAGGATTGTGTTGCACTCAAGGAAAGTTCGATAAAATTAGTGGTCTAAAATCAAATTTTAATAAGAGGCTTGTACTTTTTTTTAAAAATATTAGAATTCATGTATTTATACACAATACATACAAAAAGGTTAGTGTTGACATTTTATTATAGCACTTGTTTTTGTAGTATAATATTCTCAAATGATATAAGGTTTTTAACTTCACGTAGTAATATCATTATTTATATTAATAAGAAGTTATTGAAATAAATAACGTGTTAGACATGTATTTACAATAATAGTTCATTTGATATTTTGGTAAGAAATTGTACTCATTAAACATGAAGATTTAAGTAGTTTAATTCAAAGTTCTAAAATATTTGTATCATTAAAAAGTAAACTTTTTTTTTTTACAACTTTTTTTTGTACTTCTTTATTTTTTCTACAAACTTCAATATTGTCTAAACTAAAATAAAATCATAAATTTATTGTGGGGCCTCAAAATCTCAAGGGCCTAGATCAAGGCTGCACTTGCCTCCTCTTTGAATCATTCGTCCATCCCTCACATTCTTAATCAATTTTATAGTCGTTATTAAGATAAGACAATAATGATAAGAACATTAAAAGCAATGAATATGCCATTCAGTTACCAAATGTGAATAAAGTTGTTTGAATAGTATGTGCGCAGGGCAGTGGTCTTAAATCCTAAAACTAAAATTTATTAAAAGATATTTAAACCTCTTTCATAAAATTCATATAATAATAAAAGACCGAAAAAAATCTACATGGCTTTGATCTAGTGGTGAGAGCGCAGCTCATGATGTGTGGGTTAGAAGCACGTCGTGATAGTTAACTATCCCTTATACAAAAATATGGTATTAAGTGAAAATGATAAAAGGGTGGCCCATGATTCATCGAGTTTTGAACCTTGCGACACTTGCTCCGGGGATTTCTTAGTTAAAAAGATAAGAGACAAACAAACTTGCTTTTTGATGTATGAATCAACAAGTAGGACAAAAATGAATAACTAAATTAGAGAATCTGAGTTGAAGTTAATGTTACATCCCGTACTTTTATATTAGGATGAGTCGTAGTAATCCATATGAGCTTGAATGGACTAAGACAATTCATGAGGTTATAGAGGATTTGCGACTATGTTATTGTAAGACCCCGTAAGTTTAACAACCTTGATACTGTTATATACTTTTGAAATGGTATATTAAGTGGAAGGTTTTGTGTAAAAAGTTTTATATTCAAAAGAAAATATAATTTTATATAGTTATTAATATTTCTACTTTCGAATATGTTTTAAATTATACACATAATATGAGAAAGTTTATGAGATTTTCTTTATTATAAAGATAGATATTATTTTATCACAAGGAAAGAAGGTTATCTTTTTACCATTTTAAAAATTAAGCGTACGGAAATTTGTACTCTTTATATGAGATTAGGAAAATTAGAAGTTGAGAAAATATATTTATTTTTACATGGATGTTTTAATGAAATAATAGTGTATCTATTAATTTTATATGGTACCATAACTTATTAATATTGTAATATTTTAATAGTAGTATTTTAAGTAATTTGAGATAATTTTTAATTATGTGGGTAAATTAGTAACTATGTAAAATGCTTGGGATAAGAAGGTCACGTGGCATTGATACGTGATACATTAAAATGACTATTGAATCACTTTGATAAGGTGGCTTTAGTTCACAGCTTGGTAATCACAAACTGGACGCTCACCTCCATGGATTCCTAATTGAAACTAGCTTTTTAATTTGTTCAATCTCCTATATTCCTCAAAAAAACATGCTTTGAATTAGAACAGCTTCAAATGATCTCTCTCCACTCCAACTAAATCACTATGAGGAAAGACTAACTTCGAAATTTTGGAGATTGAAAAATCTTGGTTACTTGGTCTACTTTGCCTTGAACTGGCTGGCCTTAAGAAGCTTCACCAATACACATCTTGAAACAGAGAGTTGTGTGTTTCCTCAACTTGAGTTTTATTTTCCAAAGTTATTACGTGAATAATATAAATAATCAAGTGAATGTGGTGATGCATGATTTAAGATTATGCCAATGAAATATGGAGAGAGCTAATTAGATGATCCTCTCTTCTGTCGTTTGTTTGACTTTAAGCCATTGGGCTTTAAAGTAGAAGAAGTGTGAATTGGAAATGGAGGGAAATAAAATGGAGGGAAATTGAAAATTTGAAGAAGTGAACTTTGTCTTGCACTTTGTCCCTCATTGGTGAGGGACAACCACATTTGTGTGCTTATATATAGAATCACTTCTTAAAGCTCTTAAAAGGAGTTGAAGAGAATGAACCCTCGCACCGTCGTCGTCGCTCGCTCGGCTTCGGCTTCGGCTTCGGCTTCGGATTTGTCAAACGATCGATAAGATTATTTTTGGACAAAATTCATTTGCCAAAGGATGAGTTACGTGACCTTCTGGTAAATTCTTAGTCGACAACACCAACTTCTATCTCACTGGTTCATGCGGCTCAGGTATGTTAAGGCTATCCCTTCCTTCTTTTGGCATGATCCAAGTAACAATACGTAAACATAATGATATTCCATAAGTGGTTCTACTCTTAGCAGTTAAGGATTTATCTTTTCAAGTCTTTCCATCCTTCCAATAGTTTTGTTGAAGTATAATTGTGTGCTTTAAATATCTTATGCTCCAGTTATCAAGAAGAGGTAATTAAGAAATGAAGGAGATTTCCTTTTATAGGTTGCAGGTATTTAAGTATATGATTAGAATTTATGAGCCTTCACAAATGGAAGTTAAGTAATTTTTAAATATAGGATATGATTTTGGACAATTTTGGCAATTTAAAACATGAATTATTAACAAACAAAGGAAGTGTAATATATTAATACTTGTTTTATCTTCGTAGAATTCCTTTATGCCTCTTAGAGAAATGAAGAAGTATGCAAAGATAATGTACGAATGTGTGTAGTATTGTCACTGAGGTAATAGGAAAAACAAATAGATCTTTGCACATAAACATCAAATAACCCTTTGTAAACTAAAGTGTTTTGTTTGACTTGTTAAGCTATTATGTCACATAGCAATTGTGTCTCTGTGGCCGTGTGTGTACGTGTATTTCGAGAAACATGACCACAACTTTATGACCCAGTGAATATTGAAATAATGTTTTTGAATTATTAGAAGTAACTTGTATAACTTTTAAGATAGTGCAAATAAGCACGTTGGATTTGTGATATTCAAGCATGTCTAAGTATGCTCCTAAGTCTCTATCGAGGTATTTGATAAAAATGTGTAACGACTCGGCCGGTCATTTTTGGAATTTACGCCCCGATCCCTCATTAACTGCTTCCCCTAAGTTTATTTATGCTATTTTGGTTTGCCGGGACGTTCAATGTTGGGATTCGGAGTGTTTTGGGACACTTAGTCCCTAAATGAGAGCTTAAGAGTTGGAAAATGGTCCGTAATCGGAACAGTGTGAAGACGACCTCGGAATGGAAATTCGATGGTTCCGTTAGCTCCGTTAGGTGATTTCGGGGTTGGGAGCGTGTTCAGAATGTATTTTGGAGGCTCGTAACTCATTTAGGCTTGAAATGCCGAAGTTTGAATTTTTGAAGTTTCCGGTCCGATAGTGAATTTTTGATCCGAGGGTCGAATTGGAATTTCGGAAGTTGCAATAGATCCATCATGTCATTTGGGATGTGTGTGCAAAATTTCAGGTCATTCGGACGTGTTTTGGTTAGGTTTTT